CCAGCCCACAAGATGTCCATTTGTGTGGCTGGCCCAGCCCGCCCAACAATTGGCCTGAAGCTCCGCCAGTGGACATGAGTAGATTAGAGACGAGCATAAGCATGAATTATTGTCATACTTTTTCCAGCAGATGAACTATTTTCATACCTGGAGCTCAAAGGACTTAGTGAGGCCGAGAGGAGCTACTCCAAGAAGAACTAAATAACATATGCACATACAAATTCAGATACAACATGGGTAAGAAGAATATGTTATGTATAAGAGTATCACATGGCAATAAAAGCTATGTGAAACAACAAATCATGTTGAGTATGTAACTGATTATTTATGTTGTGCTACATATTATACGTTTATGAAAATGACATTTGAATTAGTGGATAAACTGAAAGGATGTCGAACTGAGTGAGGGAAAACGTTTAGAACGAGTAATTTTCTTTTCAAGATTTTTGCCAATACATGTAGAAAAGTACATAAATTCTAGCTGCGCAAATGCGCAGGTCACATTACTAGTTTTATTTAAATGTATGCGAATAAAATTAAATGACGGTTTTCCGTATGCATGTTCACAGACTAGTGTCTCCGAAGGGAGGAGGAAAAATATTTACGAGCGGCCGTTGAAGATGCCATTGGCTCAGGAATCTTTGGGCGATCGTGGAGACACGGCACCCGTTGCCGCCGCCGTACCCGAGGCTCGGCGACAAAGCTAGCACAGCAGCTGGTTATCCAGATCCAGGCATCCCGGCAGTGGGTTCGGTCGTGCCCCGCCTGCCCGCTGCACACGGCGCGCACTGCCCCATCAAAACCATCGAAATTGGCGCGATCCTGCTCTCCCCATCCCCCACCCCGCAGTTCCCCATGCGCACGTTACCTCCACCAGCCCCCTCCCAAACACCGAGACCTGGAAACATTAAGATATTGTCACCCACGCTCCCGACTCTCCCTTTCCCCAGAAAGAAAGAGAAAAGGATGCTGCCACCAGCACTGCTACATCTCTCTGTCCAACGCCCGTCCCTGTCTCCGGCCCTGTTGCTGGTGAAGAAGCGAGAGATATGAGCATCAAGAGAGAAGAACAGCCCAAAGCGTAGGACATTTGCACGACTTGCATACACAGGGAAAGCGAGGGGTCGGGCGCCAAGAACCACAGCCGTAAACTTACATGCATGCACTCGTGCGCAGCTGCACATACTGATGGACGACGACATACAATAGCAATTGCGTTTGGAGATTTTCAAGTGCTACTCTATTGTATATTGTTGTTGGTGGCTTGAGTTTTCCTTGGGGTGTAGCTTAATTATTTGAGCTTCCCTTGTCAACTTGAGAACCAGCTGGTGGGCTAATTTATTCAATTCAACTCAATTATTATGGCTAGGACAGCAATCTGCAGATGTATCGCGATAGAGACGTAGGAGTGCAGTGTCAAGGTTATTTAAGCTCGCGCCCACAGGTTCTCTCATCACCCTGGTCAACTGAGACCGAGGTGCTGCTCCGCCCATTCTTCCGCAATCTACTCCTCCACTGGTCAGTTTCATTTACACCTACAACATGACTAGCTAGCCTGCCCCAGCTAGATCCTGTGCACGCCGAGCTCACCAAATGATCTAGTAACTCCGACCACAGCTAGCCATGTTATTAGAGCATCTCCAAGGCTAGTCACCACATGGACCTCACAGCATCTACAATCGGACTGAGTAAATTTGGGCCCCTATACGACGGCGGATGTGACTGTGGACGGCACCGGTCTAGACCTCTCAGACCTCTTCCAATGCAAATGTGCTTAGATGAGGTGCTAAATGCATTAAATACCTTAGCAACTCAAGTCTCCAATGCATAGGTACTTGTTGTTGCTAAGCATACTTTATTTAATGAGTTAGCACATAAAGTCTTTCATGCATTGGTCAAATGGTTTCACTTAAGTGGTTTGCATAGGTTCTCGTGCTTGGAATTGGTTCTTCCTGAAGTCATCAAAATACTCTCCCCCCTCCTTCAATGTTATGCCATGTCATTTTTTCGTTTATGTGGCATGCTTAGCACCTGTCCATGGTGGAGCACTGGGAAGGGCCTCAAGTGTCCCATTTGTAACCACAACTTTTACACTTGAAATCTCAAATCCATACAAACACATGCACGTCGATCGTGATACACAAACAATGAGTAGGGCACACAAGAACAAAGTTCTACTCATTCAAAAACGACGTCGAAGGAAACATTGATGGTATGTTGAGTCCATTGTAAAGTAGTCCTTGTACAGAAGCCGTGCGCCAGTAATCCTATCTCGGAGAATAACTCTCCTGCCCATTATCGAACCCTTGAAGTTCACTACATGGTCCTCTTCCTTGTCCATTTCTTCCTCGATGCTATCCATTATCATCATTTCAACATCTTCATTGTCCGAATTCGACGATTTGTTGAACTCTCCATATATGAATTTGTTTTTCTCCGTGTTTTCATAGGCATCATTCGACGTCAAATCCATCGGTGACCCATAAACGACCAAAAGAAGTACAATAACTGCTCGAACATTTTATCAAACACATAGAGCATGAGGTGTTTGTCCGGAGGAGTTGCACATACTGGGGGCAGCGTCCAGTGGCGGCACGGTCGATGGAGTTGCGGGATGGGACCTCAATTGGCAGCGCTCTGGGTTGGGGACGCCTTCAAGCAATTTGGTGCAGGCCCCTGCAGTCGGTCCGACACGGCGGACAAGTCCGAGCGTCCCCATATCCGAGCCACTTATGGGCTGGGTATGGGGGTTGCGGCTCAGCCTAGACATTTGGGTCGGGTGGCATTTTTTTTTGTCCAAGCAATGACCGGACAAGCTGTCCGGACATTTGGGTCAGACATGGGCATTTGGTTGTAGATGATCTCATCAAACATTCGCGGATAGCCTGTCAGGGACGCTGATCATTCAACGCTATACCTCTAAATCCTCTATTTCCTCATTTTTGGTTTAGAAGGGCAAAGTGTATCTCTAGATTGTCAATTCAACCAATGTAATGCACCTTGTACTTCATCCGGTCCTTTTTACTCTACATATAAAATATGTATGCATCCAAACTTCATAAAGTTTGAGCAACTTTATAGAAAAAATATCAACATTTACAATATGAAATCAATATCATTAGTTGTATCATGAATTTAATTTTCATATTTTATAAATTTAGTATTATAGATGTTGATATTTTTTAATATAAATATGATCAAATTTTACGAACTTTGACGTCAGATAATTCTTACATGCAGAGTAGAAAGGACCGGAGGGAGTATATAATCAAAGTTATACCATGACAAAAATAGAATATTTGTAGTTTCTAATGATATTAAATTCATGTTAAGTTGATTTAATCTTTGAACTAGGAAACGTGTGGACCTTTTAAACCGGAAAGGAGTAGTAGTATTTGACTTGCACCATGTCCAAAAAAGAAAGGAGAGAGAAGAGGGAAAGGAAAACATGGGTTTGTGGTGGCTTCTGAGACTGAGTTGGCGGTGTCCGCGAATGCCGACTTCTCTCGGAGCTACCACTTATTTGATGACAGTTTGTGATATTTCGGACAATCCAAACATTTTGTGGTCATTTTGGGGAATTTTGGTAACTGCGTGTTCAGGTTGTCTGATCTAGACATTTTGGGGAATTTTGGTAACTGCGTGTTCAGGTTGTCCGATCTAGACATTTTGGGGAATTTTGGTAACCGCGTGTTTGTCACTCAACATTTTTTCTCTAGTCCTTTTTCTTTGAAACATTAAAATATTTCGAAGATAGATATTCCGAACCAAACATCAAGTTTCCAAGTACCATAGTTCAAATTAATATTTAATCTATTTGGCCAAATGCTATAATTGAAAAAGCCATCATAAATGCTCCACTAGATATGAGTTGTTGGATCCTAAATGTGATGGTGCATTTAGATAAATTCTTAATTATCGTCGTCTCTTGTCCTGGAAGCTAGAAATGTCCACCCATCCGTTCGAAACCTTGAACATTGTGAACATTCTCACCCTCATCTTTCACAATTATGTTGTGCAGAATCATGCAACGTGTCCTTCATCTCCCATATTGTCTCTGGGTCTATTGTTTGGTAGGTTTTCAAACAACTACAAACATACTATTTGACTCGCTCCACCCCTAGATTTAACGCTCGCCAGGGGATTCCGGGCATTCGGCCCAAATTAGAAGTCCCCGTAAAAGATTTAGAAGTGTTTGAATAGTTTGTTCCGAACATTTGAAACGGAATGGGGTTAGTGTTGGAGATGGCCTCGTCGGAGAGTGGGTAGATATCAGGTGATACCGCCCTTCACATGCTCTCATGCTCTAAAATTTGAAAATCACATTTAGATGTTTCAAATAATTCTGAGAATATGTGTGCATGTTCACATGACATATGTCTATAATGCTTAAAAAATTCAGATCCAAATTTGAAACATAGATTGAGAAACAAAAAAGACAATCTATAGTGAATAGTGTCAAAAGGAGACAAAACATGAATATTCTCATTTGTTAGGGTTTGTAGTCACGTGTCTTGTGAAAATTCAAAAATAAAAACAGATTTTCTTAAAACATTTAAATGTGACTTTTCAAAAATTGAAGCATGGTACTAGCATGTAAAGGGTGGTATCACCTGATATTTCTCTTCGGAGGGCTTCTCTACACAGCTACTCCTACATTTCATGGAAAAATGGAGGAGAGGAGGCAATCAAGTAGTATAGCTTAGCTACATCCCTAACAGAAGGCCTGGAAGTAAAAGGCAAGCAGGGAAGAAGATGCCAGCCAGCCAACCAGCCAAAGTAGTACTTGCACCAGTACCACTCCACTGAAGTAGAAGTACTAGTATAGTCAGGCGAGGCAGCGGTAGGGCAGCTCCCTCCCCTTCTATATTCTCCCAATCAACACCCACAGAGAAAAAGGAGGCAGGAAAAGCAGCCGCGAGGTAGAGAAAGGAAGAAAACATCAACTCCACTCAGAGCAGTGCTCTCCCCCCTCTAACGGTGAGAGAGAGAGAGGATCGATGGCGTGGTGGGCAGGGAGCATGGGCGGCCTGGATCTCCGCAACCACCTGGCGCAGTTCGGCGGCCCAGCTGCCGGCGGCGCTGCCATGGGCGGCGCCGAGCAGGCCCCGACGACCCCAAACAGCAGCGGGAGCAACAACCACGACGACTCCTCCGGCGCAGCGCAGGACTCCCCCACCGCCGGCGCGGGCGACAACTCCCCTAACCCCAACGCCGCCATCTCAGGCTCAGGCCCGTCCGGAGGAGGCGGAGGCAGCGGCGGCGGCGGCGGGGGCTCGTCGTCGGGGCGGCGGCCGCGAGGAAGGCCCGCGGGGTCCAAGAACAAGCCCAAGCCGCCCATCATCATCACGCGGGAGAGCCCCAACACGCTGCGCTCCCACGTGCTGGAGATCGCCAGCGGCGCCGACATCATGGAGGCGGTGTCCACCTTCGCGCGCCGCCGCCAGCGCGGGGTCTCCGTGCTCTCCGGCAGCGGCGTCGTCGGCAACGTCACCCTGCGCCAGCCCGCCGCGCCGCCCGGCTCCGTCGTCACGCTCCACGGCCGCTTCGAGATCCTCTCCCTCTCCGGCGCCTTCCTCCCGTCGCCCTGCCCGCCGGGGGCGACCGGCCTCGCCGTCTACCTCGCCGGCGGGCAGGGCCAGGTCGTGGGGGGCACCGTCATCGGGGAGCTCGTCGCGTCTGGGCCCGTCATGGTCGTCGCCGCTACCTTCTCCAACGCCACCTACGAGCGCCTCCCGCTCGCAGATGAAGAGCCTGGCGAGGCGGCCGCGGCAGCCACCGGATCCGACGGCATGCAGCTGCCGGACGGGCCGGCTCCGGGAGGAAACGGCGGGATGGGTGCGGCCGTGGGCGTGCCCGGACTGCCAGACCCGTCGTCGATGCCATTCTACAACTTGCCGCCAAACCTGCAGATGCCTAATGGCGGCGGTCAGATGGCGCACGATGTGTTTGGCTCCTTCCGGCCGCCACCGCCGGCCTTCTAGCTCTAGCTCTAGCTCTAGCCAGCGAGCAAGGTGTCTCCACTCTCGATCCCCCTCTTTTGATTCTTGTTCCTTTCTTTCTTTCTTTCGAGCTTCACAAATCAGTGTTGTTTGTGGTCTCCTTGTTTTGTTTTAGGTGCTCCTATACTGTTTAATTACTAGTTAGCTTTGATTGTTTGCCAGTGCGCTTAATTACTCATCATCATGGATGAATCAAGGAGAAACTGCAATTTGATCTCGTACGTCGTGACTCTTGAGTACAGCTTCGTTTCTTCAACAGCTAATTCACTAATGTGGATCAGAATTGAAGTTTTATAAAGGGTGTGTCATGTTCTCATCTAGAGACACACATCTAACTCCTACATGATTTGATTTTACGCGGAGATTCGTGTGAATTTGTTCTTTTATTTTCTTGCTTGATTAATTAAATAGTGTGGGAGTTAGACGATTAGCAAATCCAAAGTTTTAAATAGCTGGCTATAGCATATTTGCATTTAGCATCATTTATAATTTAATTATTATTGGCTTCAAAGGCATTTGGCACAGCGTCAATGTAGCGTGTCTTCAGGCTGCCACTATTTGACATTGCTCGCTATTTAAAACTTTGGTCAGAGTGCTAATCTATCATACGGTAGGCCACGTGCCATGTCGTGGTTTTTCTCTTGACTTTTTTATCGCCAAAACCTGTTGAATGGAACCCGGTTTCGTCTTCGCCCCGCCGGCCTGTTCATCTCTCGTCCAAACCATGCTACCCATTTGTATATCCCGGGACGACGTAGGGGCGTGATCGTCAACGATCATCAAGACTGGAGATGCAGTTGGTACACACATTTCTTACCCTCAAATGTTTGATCTTGTAGCTCAGCTTTTCCTGTTGGTTATGTTTATTTATTTGGCTAGGGGTAGATTTCTTTTGGTGTTGGGTGGATTATATTTCTTAGTCAATGTATCAGGGTGAGACAGTGGTTTAGGACAGAACATCTTTTATTAGCAAGTTATGCTTTGTTAGCTTCCTTGTTTAGTACCTCGATGCAACCACAATAGCCTATCAATAGTTGGAATAGATGATTAAGCAGGCTTTGCTGTTCCTGGGAACATGTAGATGTAGGTTTTTTTTTTTTTGAGAAAAACATGTAGATGTAGGTTTGACATGCGTTCGGAACTCTGAAGTAGATATGATATCACAGTAGAACCGAGACATGGATCGACCCAAATTCTACCCATAGCTCACTGAGAGGCCACTGTTGATATGACTGATGTATAATAAACATACGGAAGGAAATAATACAATACTGTTGATAAATCAGTACTTCAAAACCTTGGTGGACCACTGTGCTATAACCAACATACAAATAGAGCATCAACATAAGAAGATCTGCAAGTAGCAGCTAAAACATTGGTTCAATTATATAATGGAATACACACTACCACATGACAATCTTTATTAAGACATCACATAATGAAACACAAGTCACTCTATTACAAACTTTCATCTTCCCTAGGCAATTAGACATGCTACTAGCTAGTATTAGAGAAGATAACAGAAGTGAATAGAATATATTATGAAGAAAGTGACAATGAACAACAACCTCTCTCCAGTTCTAGTTGCGATGAAGCTTCCGATGATACTTGATCTCCAATTCCCAACTGTAGGTGGGTGAAAGAGATTATGCACTTACAAATCCAAATAACTGTTAAATAGTACTAGGTTGTATATTGAATGGTATGTGAAAACAACCGTTAAGACGCCGTCTTATATTCTTGTCTTTCTTTAGCATGCACAGAGAAATTATCACACAACATTTTATGGCTTGGTCGTTATATATTTTTCCCATTGGACTGGAATTCCTTGGTGGCTTACTAACTTTATGAGTGAATTATTGATCCTACCCCTGTCTGGGTTTATTGGTTCCTTTTGTATTTTTTGCCCAACTTTGACCATAGATTTAACTAACAAATTATAAGTTGTATGTCACAAAACTTATATTGTTGGATTCACATTTGAAAGACGTTTCCAACCTCAACTATAGATATAACTAACAAACTATAAGTTGTATGTCACAAAACTTATATTGTTGGATTCACGTTTGAAAGTGTTTTCCAATGATACTATTTCAGGGTATATAACTTATTTTTTAATAGTTAAAGGTCTCTTGATTTTTGTCACGGAGGTAGTAGTGTAAGTTAACAGCCACCTCTTCCCATTTTCATAGGTTGCATAGCATAAAAATGGCAAAATGGTACCAATATTTGCCAATCTACTAAAGGTCTCTTGATTTTTGTCTTTCTCTAATCATGATGGAGGATATAATAATCTGAGATCCAATTGTATGAAGTTTAAAACATTTGAGATGGTCCACTTACATGCACCAAAGGCAAAAGTGTGAAGCGACGGAGATGAAGAGAAGCAACATAAATCACCTTTGTGGTATTTGAAATGTGGCGACGAGGTAGATTGTAAACAAAAACAACCAAAACACAAGTTCGACCGAAGTCTATATATATCACATGTAAGGGCTTCCGTATTAGTTGAAGTAGGGAAACTTTGGAAGTACTTTTGGTGTTTCTTTACTTTGACCTGATGATGAAGATTCTTTATTCTTGCCGAGCTGCACTTTTCTCCCACTCACTCTTTTCACAAGAAAACCTTTTCCTTGAGAACACACATTTCTTAGTGACATCAATTTTTGCTATTTTTATGCACAATTTTAAAAATTGTTTAGGAATTTTGAAAATCGTTCTTCTTTTCATATTTTTGTTCACATCTTTAAGATATGTTTGTGGTCAAAAAAAGTATTCATGATTTTTAAAAATGATTGTGGTTGCAAATTTTTGTTCATAGTTTCCAACAAGGTTAGGAATTTGTTACTATTTTTTTAAATGTAATGTATTTTTTCAAAAATTTCATAAAAAAATCGTATTGGATAATTGTTGACAAATTTTCATGTTGATTCATCATGATGAAATGTAATTTGTTTCAATGACAAAAGCATTGAAAATTGAAAAAACCACGTGGTCATGGATGCATCCATTGGGCTAGTCCGGCGACAGGTCCTTCCATTTATCCGCCTTTTGTCCCAGAAAAAACTCTAGAAAATGCAAAACATATTGAATACCCAAACAACTTGGCATGGAGCCTTCAATTGGTCATGCAAGGCCATGAAAAAAATGAGGCCATTTGACATATGTCGGGAAATAACGTGTTCGCAAACAGTCCCCTCTGCCCTATCCGAACACCCTCCGTTGAACATGATCTATTTTGGACATCAATGAAATGACCTCAACTTTTGCCCATGGCAAGCATCCATGCCCAGTTTGAATGACTTCAGACACTATATGCAAGTTGCAACACATTTGGCCATTTATTGACCTTTTTCACACAGAAAATCCCAGATAATGCAAAACTTATCGCAAACCCAAACAACTGGTATGGTGCCTTGGATTGGTCATACAAGGTCACGAAATAAATTAGGGGCACTTAAGGGATGCCGAAAAACAACGTGCTCTCAAACAAACCCTTCCGGCCTACATGAACACCCTCTTTTGAACATGCTCTATTTTGGACAACCTACGAATAACCCAACTTTTAGCCCATGGCAGGCATCAATGCCCGGTTTGAATGACTTTTGACATGGTATGCAAGTTCCATCACATCCGGCCATTTATGGACCTTTTTTGACTGAGAAAACTCCAAAAAAATGCAAAACTTGTCGAAAACCAAAACAACCTGGCATGGTGCCTTGAATTGGTGTTACAAGGCCATGCAAAAAAATGGGGCCATGTAGGATGTCGAAAAACACTTTTCTCTCAAATGGATCCTTCTGGCCTATCTGAGCACTCTCTATTAAACATGGCCTACTTTTGGACATGCATGAAAGGGTCCTCACTTTTGCCACCAAGGGGGCATGCCTGTGGTAGGCATCCATGCCTAGTTTGAATGAATTTAGACACCATATGCAAATTGCAACACATCCGGACATTTATTAGCCTTTTTCACCGAGAAAACTCCAAAATGCAAAAAATATCGAAAACCAAAACAACTTGGCATGGTGCTTTGGGTTGGTCATATAAGTCCATGAAAATATAGGGTCCATTTCACGGACGTCGAAAAACATTGTGCTCTCAAGCGGACCCTTCCGGCCTACCAAAAGACCCCCCGCTTAAAATGATCCATTTTGGACATCCATGAATTGGTCCCAAGTTTTGGCACGAAGTTCACGGATTCTCACACCGTATGCAAGTTGCAACACATTCGGCCACTTATCTGCATTTTTTCACTAAGAAAACACCAGAAAAATGCAAAAATTGCCGAAAACCAAAACAACTTGGTATGGTGCCTTGAATTGGTCATACAAGTGAAAAAAAAATTGGTACCATTTGACATATGTCGAAAAACGACGTGCTCTTAAACGGACACTTTCGGCCTACCCATACACGCTACGCTGAACATGGTCTATATTTTGACATCCACGAACCCACCCTTTTTCCACCAAGAGTCATAACCATGGTAGGAATCCATGCCTGGTTTGATGATTTTTGACACCGTATGCAAGTTGTGACACGTCTGACCATTTATCAGCCTTTTTAATCGGAAAACTCCAGAAAACGCAAAACTTGTCCAAAACCAAAATAACATGTCATGATGCCTTGAATTGGTGATACAAGGCAATGGAAAAATTGGGGCCACTTGAAGGATGTCAAAATACAATGCACTCACAAATGGACTCTTCCGGCCTACCAGGACACTCTCTGTAAAACATGGTCTACTTTTGGACATAAATGATCCCAGACTTTTGCTACCAAGGGGGCATGCCCATGATATGTATATATGTACGGTTTGAACAACCTTCAACACCGTATGCAAGTTGTAACGCTTTTGGCCATTTATCGACCTTTTTTCACCGATAAAACTATCGAATGAAAAAATTGTCAAAAACCAAAACAACTTGCAATGGTGCCTTGAACTGGTTATACAAGTTCATGAAATAAATGAGTCCAATTCA